GGATTCCCACCTCGCGCGCGTTCCACCCACAGAGGAAGGCAAGGAGGCCTCACGGGTTCCCCGCGGATCGCAGAAGCAGAGAAGCTGCACCCGTGGGATGTCACGAGCTGACCTCCAACAGCTAGCCCAAGGAGAAGAGGACATTGTAGAGGACTTGGCTTTCTCTGATGATGACTGAGAGCCTTCACAGCCATCCCGCCAAGCATATCCTTTACACAACTGGTGCCTTCTGGATTACCCAGCCTTCAGCACCTGGAGCTGGTTCTCGAGGAGGCGGTAAGAGCTGGGGACAGTTGGGGGGAGGCCAGCCCCCGGTGCCGCCAAGGACTTTCTCGGGGACACAGCAAAGCAGCTACTTGGACTGTCAAGCTTTTTTCCGACAACAGCTATGTTTTTTGGTAACAGTAAAATCTGTGGTCGCATCAAGGCCAGTAAAAGTGCTCAGCGAAGGTAATAAAAAGTCCTCATTAAAAGCCGTGGCTTTAAATAAAACAGGGTTCGGTTTCAGCTCCTGCTGGAAGCATAAAGGAGCTGACCAAGGGGAAGGACGGGTTCTTTAGCTAAGCGACCGCCTGTCCGTTAAGCCAGCCACCCATGTGTCCCCATACTTCCCTCTGGGGCCTTCGTTGGGGGCTGTGCGGCCATGCGCATCGGCCAGTCCCTCCCTTTTGCCGGAAAGCGCTCAGTGATTGCATAGAGAGCTTGGGAGCGTTGTGTAGCTACCACGCAAATGGAAGCCTTTATCAACCATCGGCATCAGAAGCAGCACAGTCAGTTCAAGCACACATGCTGGCTGTAAGTAAGTATGCTGAAGAAAGTTAATTTTAAGTGCCCTGGGATATTGGGGGCGAGGGTACGGGGAATGTGGACAGGGAAGGAGTAGGTGTAAAAAAAGCAAAGCCTAATAATGTTGGTGATATACTTCTTTAATTTTGTGATGGCTGCTGGATTTGTCCAGGATCCGTTCACTTAGCAAACCAAAGGACGACCAGTTTGATCCTGAGCTTTGTAACAGACCTACTGTTATCCTTGTGGCATAAAATCTCACCCCTTTCTAGGGTCACGCCTAGCTGCCGATGCTGGTGGTGGAGGCAGCTTTGTGCCATGGGCCCTGCAGAACAGCAGCGCCGAGTGCAGGCTGTCTTGGGCACCCCAGCCTTGGTTATTCCCTCAAACCCAACCAACGCATCACTTAGGCAGCTTCCTGATGACACCTGCAGTTCCTCATGCATCTTCTGTAGTAGTTGTACTTGTGGAAGGACATTGTGTGGCTCAAGGCTGGATAAGGACAATTTTTGATCTGCTGGCAGGATATAAACAACTTAGCTCTTAAGACTACTGTTGTTCTGCAGTACTGGTAGCGAAGAAGTAGATATGTTTGTAATATGAAATGGAGTCCCTTTGCTGAGAGGTAAGAAAAGTTAAGTATTCTTAGGGCCTATTTGACGGAATCCCTCCTTAGACTTAACGCTGCAGTGTAAGGGCATCGGTCTTTGTTAATGCACATTTTTTTGGAAAACAAGACGTGGGGGCAGGACTAAACAGGATCTTTGTTCCTCTCTGTCACTGTTCAGTGATGTCACTAGCTAGCTGTCAGCGCTAGGGGTGGCCAGGCTACCTGCACCGACTTGTTCATCTCTGCCTTCTGCACTGCCTGCGTGGTTCCCTCCAGACATTCGTACTCCTGCCCACTGCAAGAGTACAAGATGCTTTTTTTTTTTTAATACATTTTTAAAAAAAGCACACTCTTTTTTTTGAAGCTCCATTTTCATGAAGTCAGAAGACTCACAGCTCAGAAACATGTCTTATTGCAGATTTAAAAAAAAAAAAAAAGAAGCTCCAAGCCACCCAAATGTGCTGTAGCCTGGCTAACATGCTGCCTCTCGCCCACACATGTGTAAGTGGTAACAATTTGGTGTATGGAAAGAGCTAGTTATGCTCTTCCTTTCCTAGCCTGAGTGCTGCTCCTTTCCTGCTCCCAGACATCATTACGGCTCAGGTAATTACTGCTCCAGTACAGTGTTGTGGGGTGCTTGTTTCATTCGGGGGGGTCATTATTGTCCTTTTGGAGCTGAGCAGTAGGAAGGGGGTAGGGAGGGGGTGGCCGAACGGCAGTTACAATAATTACTAGACATGTCTTCCCAAACATGCACTGAGACACCCTTTGTCCCAGGAGGGGGAGGAAGAAACCTCAAAAATTAGTAAGTAAGTCTTTTATTTATTTATTTATTTATTTATTTATTTTTAAATAGCCTACTCTCAGGGGCCAAAGTTCCTGCTGCTTCATTAGGAGAGCTGGAAACGCTCACGACTGAGGTTGCCTGCTGCAGGTAACCAAGCCTGTGTCTTCAGGCAATTTACATATATGAGAGCTTGGGATGTGATTGCAAAAATTAGAAGTGTTAGGCCCTCGCTGCAAGAAAGAAAGTTTAAACTTACCTTTTCTTCCAGGGGGAAAAAAAAAAGTTGTTGTTTTGTCTCCTCTCACTTAGCTGGGCACGGTGATTTCTGCCATTTGGGAACTGTGAACCAAACCTTAGATTGGATTTTAGGCTGGAATTGTAGCAGCTCCAGTGCACCCAGCGTACCGACAGCAGTGGTAAGGCATATGGCCTACACACGGTGCAAGAAAGGCGACTTTTTGGGTAGCACAACCATATGCAAGAGATCAGGATGCTAGGTACCATTTGTAAATTAAGTGTTTTTCTTTTTTATTTAAATTGATTGCTGGAAAGCATTTTATCGTGATGTGATGGATAATGACTTTTTCTTTTTTTTAATACAATATAAAGAAGCTAATGTACCACCAAGCTATTTTGTAAGGAAAAAAAAAAAAAAAAACGCAAG